TCAGTGTGGTAGCATGGGGCCCATCCTTAAACCAGATAACATTCTGCTTCCTGTGTGTGAGGGGAGCCAGTCGTTTGTTCAGCGCTGCTTATAAAGTGCCCCCACTCCGTGCCAGGTTCTGAGCCAGGGATACCGGGCAACCCAGACCAGTAAGATCGCTGTTCTCATGAAGCTTCTGGTCTAACTGGGAGACGTTAATAAGTGGACAAACACCGTTGGTTGCAGGCATGAGTATGGCTGTGGGCCCTGCCTTGGGAGTTGCCAAGGACAGAGACAATTGTCAGGCTGCCGTGTGCCCCTGGAGCCCACAACCAGGGCTGGCTCAGAGTTGGCCCCCACTCGGCAAACATTTGTTGAATTGCTTGGCATGAGAGAGAAAGCATATGGAAAGTGCCCGGTCCTCCTGGTTATGTCCACAGTAAGAGCCAGCATGTACACACAAATATCTCGTTTCAATTAACCGACATTTATCAAGGGCCCATTATGTACCAGCAGGATCCCAAGCCCTGAGAATCTGGATGTGAATAAAATCAGATCCCCGTCTCCCTGAGCGCACAGCCCAGATGGAGGCAGGCACGTGAACCAACCAGGACCCCAGTATGCTAGGACTACGGTGTCTGTGTGGACCCAATTCCCAGCAGGGCTGGGAGGCTGGGGAGGGAACACACCAGGAGGGAAGGACGAGGAAGGAATCACAAAATTATACCCGAATGTACACATGTATAAACAGATACCCCCAGAGACAAGCACTCTGAGTCTCACAGGTGTGTGCACTGATTACCTAAGCACGTGCAGACATATAATGACCCCTGTAGACTTGGATGCCACACAGGCCATCCTGACCAAGGCCTGCTGGTGGTCCCCCAAACTGGGGAGGTGTGTGGCTGAGACAATGGCCAGTGTGTTGGGGGGTTGGCACAGGCACCCTGAGAATCACCAGGCCTAGGCCGGAGGGTGCTCTGAGGGGGGCAGAGCTATTAGTCTAAACCTGAGAAGTTAGGCTGATTATTGGCTTGTTTGGCATGGCAATCGCAAGAGATGGCTGATGTACTGCACACCAGGCCTGACTCTCAGATTGGAAGCCAGAGGGTAGGGAATTTGACAAAAAGTTTAACTGTTAGTACTTGTGCTTGCTGAGGAGTTTGAACCAAGTCGGAGTCAGGACATCAAGATGGAGGAAGGGGAGTGTTCAGTTAGCTGTACTGAGCTCACCTTCCTGCTGGGCAGAACTGTGCCTTTTAGAAACTGCCACTTCCCCATTTGGACATTTTGGCTATTAGGAGCGAACAAATAGAAAATGCTTAGAGCAGCTCCTGGCACATGTTAGCCCTTCATTCTGTCCCCCAAGACCATGCCCTTGGTGTGTGATGGTAAAAGTTCCAGGCTGTTCACCTATGAGGAGGGAACCAGGGAGCCAGCCTGGAGGAGGAGGCAGGAAATGGGCCCAGGAATTTGTTCAGTGAGTGAGAGGTAGATCCCTCCTCCAGAGCTGTCTTCTGCTGAAACCTTGGAGGTTTTTGTGTATGTTTTCATAAGAGATACTATTTCTTTGCAATAATAATAGCTTTTTTTGATGTTATCCTTACATGAGGACATTTTTTCCATTGCTTTTCAGAGAGAGTGAAAGGGAGGGAGGGAAGGAGGGGAGAGGGAGGGGAAGAGGGGGAGAGAGAGAGAGAGAGAGAGACATCTACCTGAGAGAGACACATTGACTAGTTGCCTCCAGCATGGGGGGTGGGGGTGGGGGTGGAGGAGCTAACCTGCAACCTAGGTACATGCCCTTGATCAGGAATCAAACCCGTTGAGACCCTTTGGACACTCTAACTGCTGAGCCACACCGCCCAGGGCACAGTAATAATAGCTTTTATAGTGCTTTCTGACTGCCAGGCACTGCTCTATCTGGTTCACATATGATAACTAATTTAATCCTCTTAATAATCCTATGAAGTAGGGACATTCTTATTCCCATTTTACAGATGGAGGAACCGAGTCCCCGAGTGGTTTAGTAAATTGCACGAGGCTGCATGGTAGGATGACACCAGAGTCCGTTTTCTAACCATTGGGCTCTGCCCCGACTCTGGAGGGAAGGTCTGGTTTTTGCTCCTTCACCCTCACTAATACACTGTGGGACCCTGGATAACTCACTGGCCTCTGAGTTTCCATCTCCTTCTCTGGGAAGCAAAAGTCCTCTCAACCTGGTGACCGCCCAGGGCTATTGTAAGACCACCCTGACTGTCCATATCCTTGCATGGGCTGTGCTGGGGGAAATGGGGCCCAGGTGCAGCATTCTGGGGAGCAGGTATTTCTAGTGGGGTGCTCTGCATCTTGGCCCCTGGAGCAGGGCCAGGGTGGAGAGTTTTCTTTGAGCCCCACCAGCAGACCCTCAGCTGGGCACACAGGCCCCTGGAGGCCTCCCAGGATTGGGGACATGGATGAGGGCACCAGGAGAGAAGCTGCTCTCAATGTAAACTCATGCAGAGAAAATCATGAACTGTGCATGCAATTTGCACCCGGACCAAGGCTCTCAGAGCATAAATATGTTCTATGGGCTATGTATAATCTTGGAGAAATTAGAGTGATCTGGGTAATGGGAGTGCTGGCAGACTCCAGGCTGGTCAGGGCCTGCCAGGGACTGGCAGGGGGAAGAGTGGGAACTGTGGAATCTTCTGGTGCAGGACTCTGCACTCCCCAGTCTCTCCTTCCTGACCCAGCCAGTGCTCGAGAGCCAGGAGGAGGAAAGGGCTAGAGAGGAGCCTCCCTTCAGATGGCTCATACGTAATCTTGGGTCTCTCTGTGGCCTAAATGGCAGTGAGGCCGGCTGCCTGGGACCCTTTGAGTTAGCAGTGAGCTGCTCTCCTTCAGACCTGTCATTTCACTGATGCTGGAACGAAGGCTCAGAGAGGGGCAGTAACCTATCCTGTGTAACACAGCTAGTGGGGCCCAGACAAGCTGTGGTCTCCTGATCCCATCTGCTCAGCATTCCTACAGTACGCCTAGGTGTAAGACCCCAGAAGCTGGCTGGAGACACTCCCTGGGGGGATGCAGTGGGAATTCAATATCCAGCGACCACCTTCTCTAGAGCAGACAGCTCCAGACTAGGTTCTGAGTGAGGAAGGCATGTCCTGGGGGACTCAGGGAACAAAGCCCAGACTCCCTTATGTGGCATTCAAATATTCATTTTAAATATTTCCCTCCCCCTTCCAACACCGATCACCTCCCTCCAGCTACCCCGGAACATTCTTCAGTCTCACATTCCTCTGCACTCTGGTCCACACTCTTCCCACTCAACTGCCTGACCCCGCCCCCTCCTTTTCTCTGATTAACTGAAGGCTCCCTCCACCCCAACTCCAGGCCTCTGACATCCCTCTCCTGGCCTCCTGCTCTGTGGCTTGCCCTCAATCTGAACTCCCCGCTGGAGCTCATAGCCCACCAAGGAGGCCTGGTGGAATGGCTGCGTGGTAGGCTGCCCAAATTCACCATTTAGGATGGAGGCCCTCCTTCCTCCCCCTGCAGGAAGCTGGGGGCTTCAGGCTGAGCCTCTCTCCAGAAATGGCCCTCAGCCCAGAGCTTCCCCTGAAATGCCCCCTCCCCCAGGGCAGTGGAGACCCAGTGACTGGGGGGTGGGGGGGTGTTTAGGCCCTCCCTCCCTCTCCCCTGGCGGGACAAGTCGAAGGGCCATCCCAGCTCTAGAGCTTCCCCAAAGATCAGTCCTGTTGCAACTGCACCTCAGTGCAGCTTCTCCCTCTGCCCAGTCCTGCTCCCCTTATCCCCCAAGAGCTCACTAACTCCCATCTCAGAGAATGCGTTCCCGGGGAGCCAGTTTATGGCACCTGGGAACAGAACATGTAAGCAGCCAGCTGGGTTCAGGTAGAGAGCAACCATTTTTAGCTCCATGACCTGGGCTAAGTCACTAACTTCTCCATACAACTGTTCTATCTATTAAGTACGAATACTGCTGAGACGATAGTTCCTATCTCCTGAGGGTCCTGTGAGGATTAAATGCGATGATGGATGCAGGGTGCCCGATATTGAGAAAGCACTTAATAAGCATTAGCTATTATTACTTCCATTTAACTTCTCTGGGGTTCAGGTGATCAGGAATAGGAAATTATTATCTGTGTCTTGGGGTTGCTGGCGACAATCCAATAAGACTGAGAGGCGAAGGGTTCAATTCTGGGCTGCTGCGACCTAGTACAGACTCAGAGGTCGAGCTCCCTGGGGGCTTTGCCCATCCTGGAGCTGTGGTCTGGAAGCCTGACCCTCCCCCAACTGGTGAGGATCACTGTATTGGTTTTCTGTTACAGCCGTAACAGATTAACACAAATGTGGTGGCTTAAAACAAAACAAACGTATTATCTTACATTTCTGTGGGTCAACAGTCTAGTCTGGGTCTGCCAGGACTACAGTCAAGGTGGTGGCAGGCTGTGTTCCTTCTAGAGGCTCCAGGGGAGACTCTGTTTCCTGCTCAGTCGGTTGCGGGCAGAATTCAGTTACGAGGGTTGTAGGATTGAGGTTCCCCCGTTTTTCCTTGACTTGTGGCTCCTGCCTCCATCTTCAAAGGCACGTGGAGAACATCTCAAGGCTCCCCTTTTGATGATCTTTTACTTCTAGAGCAGTGGATCTCAACCTTGGCTGCACATCACAATCACCTGGGAATCTTTTTAAAATCCTGATTTCTGGGCCTCATCCTGAAATTCTGTTTCTTTGTTATGGGGTGGGGCCACAACATTAGTAAAAGATTTTAAAAAGATTCCCAGGTGATTCTAATGTGCACCCAAGGTTGAGAACCACTCTAAAGGCTCGTGTGATTACATTGGGCCCACCTGGGTAATCCAAGATTCTCCAGCTCAAGGCCTTAATCACATCTGCAAAGTCGATTTCGCCCGTAAGATAACATACAGACTCCAGAACATGGACAGCTCGGGTCAGGGTCCGGATTTGCTGGTCACAGCCACTCAGCATGGAGCAACCTCTGATCCAAAACTCACCTCTTTTCCCAGGGAGAGGTCTGTGCAGTTCCCTGTGCAGCAGGGACCTACGGCCCCAACTGTTCATCTGTTTGTAGCTGTAACAACGGTGGCACCTGCTCCCCAGTAGACGGCTCCTGTACCTGCAAGGAAGGTAACCTGCCTTCTTTCCCAATCCCACCCCCCTCGAGGTGCACACTGCCCAGGGGGGCCACCAGTGGAGGGGTCTGGGCTGCTCCTGCCCCATCCACCCACACGCAGGGTCAGGGAGCTTGTACATCAGGTTCCAGCCACCGAAACCCAGGCCAGGGGCTTCAATAGTGGGAATGAGATAAAGGGGATATGCTACCTGGTGTGAGAAGAGCTGAAGGAAGGACAAGGGCAGGTGAGCAACCAGAGATTAGCAACTGTGGGAGGAGCTGCTGCCACTCCTGGGGGTGAGGGCCACCTGGTGGAGCTGGGACATGGACAGAGGGACAGCACAATAGAGCTGGAGCACGAAGGAGACTCAGCCCCACTAGAGGCTCGAGGCAGAGAAGTAAGAGACACCTGTGTTTCTCCTGCTCCCACCCTCCGGTCTGCGGGCCAGATCTCCCATCAGCAAGCCCATCTGGGAGCCAGCAGAGGGGGGCTTGGGCAGTGCAGCTACAGTGGTCGGCCCCTTGGGTCAGAGAACAGAGCAGGGGAGGGGGAAACGGAGCTGAGGGCAAGCAGGCCAGTGACCAGCCTAGAGTGGGAAATCAGGCCGTCCCCAAAACAAAGGGCCCTGAGTCAGGCTGGCTGACTCCCCCTGGGCTGAGAGCGCGCTCCCCACCTCAGCTGGTTCCCTATCCCAGGTGGGCCCATGAGCCCACGCAAAAACAGTGAGAATTGGGAGGCAGGAGGCCGCATTCTAGCCCCCGCTCTCCTAACAGCCGGCACAGCCACCCAACACTGGACAACCGATTTTCGGAGCGGACTCTGTGGAATGGGTGTCCTAACCCAGCGATCTAAGAGGTTGGGGTTTGGGCAGGGTGCCCTGTGCAGAGCTGGGGAGAGTGAGCAGCAGGCTGTGCTGGGCCCGAATGGAGAGCCGACAGCCTTTCCCTCCCTCAGGGTGGCAGGGCCTCGACTGCACCCTGCCCTGTCCCGGCGGGACATGGGGCCTGAACTGCAACGAGAGCTGCACCTGCGCCAATGGGGCGGCCTGCAGCCCCACAGACGGCGCCTGTGCCTGCGCCCCCGGCTGGCTGGGAGCCACCTGCGAGCTGCCCTGCCCGGTGAGTGCCCAGGGCTGGAAAGGTCCTTGTGGGCCCAGCATCCCCTCACCCTTCCCCTGGAGTTATTTTGTCCACAGAGAAGAGCACAGATGGAAACCGTAGATCAGGTCTTGGCCCTACTTCTAACCTCTCTGGGCCACTTTCCCACTTCGGGTCTCAGCCCTCTCATCTATAAAATGGCAGACACTTGGCAGATGGTGATGTGGCATCCCTTGCCCCTTGCAGCTCTCGGTAAACATTAATTGACTCGGCATGTTTACCTGAGCCCAAATGCAGCTTCAGAATCCTTCGCAATACGGTCTATAGGACGGCCCTCACTAGGCCATCAGAGTGCCATCCCCTGATAGATCATGTCTTAGCTTCTTTCCGCTTCCAGCATCTATAATTTTATGATTGGGGTGTGGGAGGCCTGAACCAAGCACCATCCAGCAACAACCACCAGACTTAATCACCGGATCTCTCTCTAAAATATGACTAAGTTAAACCAACTGATGTGATGTTGTCACATGAGTCCTACAGTCCTGGGTGAAAATTCTGACTTTGCCACCTCCTGTTACCTTGAGCATGATACTTCCCTTCTCTAACCATGTTTCCCTCTAACCCAGTGGGTCTCAACCTTCTGGCCCTTTAAATACAGTTCCTCATGTTGTGACCCAACCATAAAATTATTTTCGTTGCTACTTCATAACTGTAATGTTGCTACTGTTAAGAATCGTAATGTAAATATCTGATATGCAGGATGGTCTTAGGCGACCCCTGTGAAAGGGTCGTTCGACCACCAAAGGAGTCGCGACCCACAGGTTGAGAACCGCTGCTCTAAATTGTGGGTAGAATGGAACCATTGCACAGAGTCGTTGTGAAGAGAACGTAAGGCTCTTGATACCTAATGAGCACCCCACACGTATTAGTCACCACCTCTTCCCTAATAACAAAGAATAAATCAGTCATTCCTCCCATGTGATTGATGTGTTGCAGTTTGCCAAGTGCATTTCCATTCACAGTTTTAATGGATGGTCATTACAGCTTTCTGAGCTTGACCATTGAGAAGCAGGGCGGGACCATCACCTCCCTCCTTCCCAATCCCATGCTCTTGTTAAAGCAGCCAGAGAATTCCTCGAAGGCGCTTGATGGCCGTGTGGACACCCAGTTATAAAAAGTGTTCCCACTGTGCCCCGGCCCCAGTCTCTGTGGGTCCTTGTGGGGCAGTGGCTCAGTTTTGCCATCAAATTCCAGCAGAGGTGTGTGGAGCTCTGGGGAGCTGGATCTGATCACTTCGCTCTCCCCTCTGTCCACAGGATGGCACATTTGGGCCAAACTGCAGTGAGCGCTGTGACTGCAGCCACGCCGATGGCTGCGATCCTGTGACCGGCCACTGCTGCTGCCTGGCGGGATGGACAGGTAACCCCTGCTGCCTCGCCACCACCCAGGTCCTGGGAAACTGGGCTCTTGGTATTTTCCTTCTTCTCTTGACTGCTCTCTCTCTCCTTCATGACTTCCTCTTGCTTCCTAAATATGTACCTTTCCCTTTATTTCCTGGGCGTCGGCTCTCCATTCCATTCAATCTGAGTAAACAAGTATTTACTGAACACCTATGTGCAGGCTCTCTCCTAAGAAGGGGCACAGCAATGAAGAATCAGACAAAGGCTGACCCCTGGTGGACATAGGTGTTTGCAGACCATATGGTGGAGAGGGAGACAAGGAACTTTCTCCTCAGCCCAGGCTAGTCTCTACGTGACCTGTCATCCATCACTTTCTCCCTCCCACGCCCCCACTCTGGCCCACCAGGCACTGTCTCTCAGCCGGCACTGCCTTGGCCTCCTGCTTGGTCCCTGCACCTCCCCTCTCACCCGGCCACTTCCATTCTGCACATGGTGGCCAACGTGAACTTTTCAAAACCCAGATCCTTTCACACCAGTCCCTGCTCAGAATGCCTCAGTGGCTTCCTATGCCATTCATATAAAATCTAGAGTCCTTAAGGGGGCCTGAGGCCCACATGAAACTGGGACCTGCCCAACTCCACTACCTCTCCTTTGCCCCCTCCCATCCCTCACTATTCCAGCTGCCCAGGCCGACCACCTTCCTGCCTCCAGGCCTTCGTAGGCGTAGTCCCTCTGCCTGGATCACTCTCCCCGTCTCTGCGCCTGATAACGCCTTCTCCTCCACCAGATTTCAACTCCAAGTTATTTCCTCTGGCAAGGCTCTCTCCCCCAGCCACAACCCAACCCCTTAACCTTTATTTATTCTCATAACATTCGACACTTTTCCTTTTGCAGTGTGAACTGCAATTGTCACTGAACTCAGATTAGTAGCTATTTGTTTATTATCTGCCTGCCCCCC